GGCATAAAATAATATTATAATCTAACAAGCGCTACAACCACTCAAAGTCCCTTAGTCAAGGTTGACCTATAGGACGTCACTGCCATCAGGGTAGAAATGTTTTACTACAGGATAAAGGATCACTAGACCCAAACCATGGCAGTAAAATCCAGTCCACAAGATTCCTTATGGATTTCACATAATGTGTCATGTTTGTAGATTAGTAAAGAGAACCCTGAGCCTGGTTCTGCTGAAGGTTTCTTCCTGTTAAAAGGGAGTTTTTCCTTCCCACTGTCATGAAAGTGCTGCTCACAGGGGGTCATATGATTGTTGGGTTTTCCTCCCTATTAGGGTCTTTAACTTACATAAACCGCCTTGGGGCGACTGTTGTGGTTTTGCACTGTATAAATAAAACTTAATTGAATATTTGTATCTGATGTCTCATCTATGAAAATCCAATGTTATGACTGTTTGTCTTTTATTTTGTGAGGATATCTGTTAACTATCTACCTTTCCAACCACAATCATGGATAATGTTAATGCACAAAAAGGGCTCTGTGGGGGGCTCGGCTGCAGCAGTGGAGCAGAGGAGGCTGGGCCCTGAGATTTCACCTTTTCTAACGTTGATGTTAATTGTGAAGGTCATGAAGGGTGAAACTGATCTAACGATTAACTGTGACACACATCCACACAGAGGGTCAGATCACGTCTTCACGTCTGTGTTTCTTTTATTCACACACACATTCAACCTAGCTTGAATTACCACCTTTAAGCTGCACACCACTAAAGTTTAAGCTCGTTCCTTCTATTTCACAACTACACCTTGATATCCAACAGCATCGCTAAATGCAAGGGTCAGTCCGACTACAAAGAAGCAGTGGGTCAACACACAAACACTCACCTTTAATTCTTTCAGTGGGATACAGTACAAACAGTCAGAGCAGCAGCAGCTCTGAGGCAGTGTAACATCAGGTAAACAAACAGTGTACTACGCAGACGAGAGTTTGGCCCGGGCAGTTTTCACTGGCAGCAGCGTGTTCCTGCTGCTCTGTTTGCACGGCTGGCGTGTTGTCCTTCAGCTGCTGCAGGTTGAAAAGCCCACAGAAGTCACAATTGTTTCTTGACTCCTTACCAGTAAACTTGTACCAGCTTTCCCAGAGCCATCTTATTTACAGAGGATGACCCCGGCTGCAAGCTAAAGAATCATTTTGTGCAACGGACACTCATTACTACCAGCTAGGAAACAATCTTTAGAGATGCTGCAGTGAAAACGCAGTTTTCAGTTAGATGTCGCTTGACAATAGTTCCAAAGGCACATTAATCCCATTAAAAGGCACGTTACAATGTTAGATACAACGTGAAGCACTGTGAGGCGACTTTATGATTTGATGCTGTATAGATAAACTCAGTTAATACTTTGGATTCTTTCATTTAAATGGAAACACAATGAGCTGTTTTTTTTCTGTGCTGTGTCCAGGTTCACTTTGAATATCAGCTGTGTTTCCATTTGAAGGGCTGAAAATATTGTTCAAATGCAGTTCGATTTGAAGACGTAAGCGGCGGTATGGATACGACAGGTGACATTACGGTAGCCGTGCTGTGCGGGGAGGACGAGGAGCTGCGTTCCATGCTGGCAGCAGGAGGACAACCTGCCCAAACTCCCCGTTTGTGTACATTAAGGACAGGGCCGAGTTTCCCCGCCTGTCTCAGTCTGCTGCCACAGTGACGACCGTCGCTTTAGGCTCTGACGTGTTTACATACAGCTTCTTTAGCACCGTAGAAATGACACATTTGTTATCTGGAGCGATGAACACAGAAAGAACTGTTTCCTCCTCATCACCCAGCTCTGCCCCCTAAAGCTAGTCTATCTTCACATTGTCTGAGTTGGAGGTTGTGACTAAACTAGTACCACAGTCAGTGATATAGTTCAGAAAGGATGCTGGGAGAAGACCTCGTACTGGTATAC